TAAATACACACCAGTAAGGGTGAGATAGGGGGCCAGGAAGAATGAGGGTGCAGTTGGAGACGAATATAAACACACACAGTCCTGTCTCCTTTCAAAAACCTCTATCAGTGTATTAGAATATAGTAGACTAATTGGTGTTCTTGATGATGCCGTGAGTCATTAAGAAACAAAAAAGAAATTAATATTTCTGATTTAAGAAGTCAAAGCAAAATGTAACCCTGTCACAAATTTTCTAGCACAAATGATTTAATAAAATAAGTTTGGTTACCTTTAAAAGGGATTAGGTTAGTTTTTTGGAAAATTTTACTTAAGTGGAAAATGTATTTATTCCCTAATAATGTCGGCTGATTCAAGTGTTGCAAAGGGGAAAACTGAAGTATAGGATTCTAAATTTTTGTCAGGAGGAAATTTCATCCTATGGGTCTATTAACAGGTGTTATTTATTAAATGTTCATATGTATATGATGTTGTGCAAACTGTTGAATTTTTAGTACATTTTAGCTTTCATTAAAATATTACAACCAAAAGCTTGCTTACTGTTCACAACTTCAGTGGCTCAGATTTATTCATTTGGTGCAGCACAGCTGATTTGCATACAGTAAAGACATTGGCAAAGTTCAGTACCTGGTGAGAATAGGCTAGATTGTTTGGCTCTACCCTCCCACTAAAAACAACAATATGATTTTTAAAAAGTCACCTTAAAAGTACTTGAAAAGATAGGGAACTGCCGGGTTAAATTTAGGGAGGAAGCCTCATGCAGAGAGGTAAGTAGATACCAGAGCACTAAAACCAGTTTTTCCATAAGACATTTTCCAAAACACAAATGGGCTTTGCTTCATCAACTCCAAGAGCAAGAGAAACAGAAGTCAAGGCCCAGAACATGTGAAAGTTGTGAAGTCTTAGAGAAGTTGGCCCACACATTAAGTAGGGACCTCAAAGGACTGTACCACTAGAACTAAACCTGCTCCCCTTCCTCCAGACTCTAGAGGTCTATAGAAACAGCCACATTGGCAGTGAGCAGACTTGAAGATGAAAAGGAAAAAGGAGAAAACACATCCCTGAGAAGTTGTGGCCACCAGCCAACCCTCTTGCAGGTTAACATCCTGATTATTCCTTGCACAGTAGGCCAAGGAATCTCAAACAGTGAATATGGTTTAGGTAGTGCCCTCCAGGAACCTAGCAGAAGCAAACAGAAAGCTTCTTTGGAAGAGGGCATATTCATCGTAACCTCAGCAAAACAGTCCCCTGCAAATCATTTTCAAGGGCAATAACCACTGTCAAAAACAACCAGGCACACAGACAGCAGAGAGAGAACCAACAGGAAGAAAAAAGAACATGCAGGAGAAATCAACTGGCATAACCAATTGGCATAGTTTTCACACACAGATATAAAACAAATATGCTTACTATGTTTAGTGAAATAAGCTTGAACAATAAATGCAGAGAACAGTAAACTGTAAAAAGTGATGTAACAGATTTGAGAAAAAAACAAATAGGATTTCTAGAAAACAAAAAGATAACCAAAATTTAGAAACTAGGTCAACATTTTGGCAGCTGATTGGACTTAGCAAAAAAGAATTGGTGAATTAGAAGATAAGTTAGAAGAAATCACCTGAGTGCTGCACAGAGAGAGACTATATTAGGTTCCCCTGAAAACAGAATCAAGGAGATAGATAGAGATATATAGAGATTTATTAGAAGAGAGTCACTCACATGATTATGGAGGATGAGAAGTCCCACAAACTGCCATCTGCCAGCTGGAGGCCTAGGAAAGCTGGTAGTGGTAGTTCTGGTCCAAACCCAAGGCCAAGAACTGGGGGGCTGATAGTATAAGTCCAAGTACAAAGGCCCAAGAACTGGGAGCACTGATGTTCAAGGGCAGGAGAAGATGGATATCCCAGCTCAAGCAGAGAGAACAAATTCACCTTTCTTCCACCTTTTTGTTCTATTCGGGAGTCCACTGAATTGGATGATACCCACCTACTTTGGTGAGGAGGATCTTTATTACTCAGTCTACCAATTCAAATGCTAATCTCTTCCGGAACCACCCTCACACATGCACTCAGAAATAATGGGCATCCTTTAGCCCAGTTAAATTGACACAGAAAATTAACCATTACAGAGACAATGGTAGAGACTACAGTGGAGAAAAGGATAAAGGTTATGGACAATACAAACATAGGTTTTGGTGGAAGTCCTAAAAGGAGAAGAGCAAATGGAATAATAAGGAATAATAAGAAACACAGTCCTAGACACATTATAGAGAAAATTCAGAAGATTAAAAAAATGACATTACTTTCAGAAGAATATCTGACTTTTTAATAACATCAGAAAGCAGTAGAATGACATCTTCAGTGTGCTGAAAGAAAATATCTCCAAATCTAGATGTCTACACACAATGAAAATATCTTTCAAGAATGAAGGTGAAATAAAGGCATTTTCAAAGAAACAAAAACATAATACATCATCACTAAAGAAAATTCTTAAAATTGGACTTCAAGCAGGAGTAAAGTGAGCACAGATGGAAGGTCTTACATACAAGAAGGAATGAAGAACAAGAAAGATGTAAATATGTGAACAAATGTGAACATTGCTTGTATGAAAGTAATGTGGGGCTTTATCAAAACAAGTAAAATATCAGACAACAATCTGTAAGTTGCAGAAAGAGTGTGTGTGGGAAATGGAGTTAAAGTACTCTAGGACTCGTATTATCCAGGAGGAAGTAAAGGTTTGGTTTGACTTTTAGACTTTGATAAGGTAAGTATGTATCTAGTTTTTAACGAGTAAAAAAGAATAGGATAAGATCGAGTGATTTCCAAACTAATGGGGAGGGGGTCAGGGATGGGGATGCAAAGGGCCAAGAATAGCGAAGATGTTCAGGAAGCAAATGAACAAGGTATGAGAGCACTTGCTTTATCTGGTATCAAGGTCATAAAGCTATGGTAACTAAAGGTTGGCATTAATACAGGTACAAACAAGCAGATGGAACCAGTAGAGAACCTGGAAACAGACCCAAGCATTTATGTACACTTGATATATGACAGAGGTGGCACTACAGAGCAGAGAAGAAAAGTCAGACTTTTCAATAAATGTGTTCTATCACAAAATCAGCTCCAGGGGGATTAAAGAAAAGACCTAAATGTCAGAGGCAAAACTTAGATCTTTCTATAAGACAATTTAAGATAGAGAAGAATTTCTTAAAACAATACCAAAAAGCTATACCCAGAAAGGAAAGGATTAATAAATTCAATTAAAATGTAAAACGTTTGGTCATAAAAAGAGTAAAAAGGCAAGCCATGGAAGAGGGAAGTATATTTGTAACATGTATCACTGACAAAGGGCTTGTATCCAAAATATGAAAAGAACTCTTAGAATAAAAAGCAGACAGCTTGGGGGGCTGGCCCAGTGGCATAGTGGTTGAGTTCACACACACTGCTTCGGTGGCCCAGGGGTTCGCCTGTTCAGATCCTGGGCACAGAACTACAAGCCCCACTATGGCAGCATCCCACATTGGAGAACTAGAAGGACTTACAACTAGGATATACAACTATGTACTGGGGCTTTGGGGGAAAAAAAAAAAGGAAGATTGGCAACAAATGTTAGCTCAGGGCCAATCTTCCTCACCAAAAAAAAAGATAATAAGACTTGAACTGGCATTTCACAAAAGGAGGGGTTTCAATAAATAAATGAAAAGGTGCTCAATCTCATTAGTAATAAGGGAAATGAAACTCAAACCACAATTAAATATTGCTGCACACCCACCAGATTGGCAAAATTTTAAAAATCCAACAATACCAAGTTGGTGAGGCTGTGGAGCAACAAATCTCTCATATATTGTGGGTAGTAACATACAATCACTTGGAAAAGAGTTTAGCATTTTCTAATAAAGTCAGATACACGTATACTATGACTCAGCAATTTTATTCCTAAGTGTAGGTACCCTAGGAAAAAAGCATGCATGTATGCACTAAGTTAGTTGTACAAGAATATTCACAGCATTTTTTACAGTAGCCTGAAACTGTCCATCAAGAGTGAAATGGATAGATTATGGAATATTATGCAACAATATTTAAACTTCACTTACATGTAACAATATGGATGAGTCCACAATATTGAAGGAAAGAGGGAAGACACAGAATACATGGATTGTGATTCAATTTATATAAACTTTACAACCAGGCAACACTGTACTGTTTATAATGTGGGTATGGACTTTTCCCTAAAGGGCATGCATGGTAGTAAATAGCTTAGACTTAACTGCCACATGGTCTCTGTGGCAACCACCACCACTCCACTCGGCCACTGCAGTGTGAAAGCAGCCCTAGACAGTATGTGGCCATGTTTCAGCAAGAACCAGTCCCTCATCTATGAGCACATGGATTTGAGATAAAATTACTTTTAAAGGTGGGATAAGGAAAAAAAGAAGGAAATGATAACCATAAAAGACAGGATAATGAGTATCTCTTGGCAGGAGAGGTTTGTGATCAGGGAAGAGTAAATGGGGCCTTCTAGGATGCTGGCAGTGTTTTAGTGGGAGTTGTGTGGAGGTTGCACAGGTGTTCACTTTATAGCTATCTTTTTAATTCTATGTAAAGTTAAATACTTGTGTGTACAATAAGTTGTATGTCACAATAAAATAAGTTTTAAAAAATAAAAATGGTCACTGTTTCCTTAAGTAATTGTTATACATTTAATCGTATGTGAATTTTTGTTTAGTTTACATTTGAACTGCTCTACTTGTTTCTGAAACTTAAAGAAATACTCCTAAAGGAATTTAAGTAGTAATATAAGGCAATTATCTTATATGTGATTTCTTTTTAAATCACATAAACATTTAATTAAAAGTGAAATAGAACACTACTACTTTTGATTAGTAATTCAGGATATATGCATTAGATAATCTGTGTTTAGAGGCTTAGAGATACAGCTTGCAACTTGTATCTTGGCTTATTTATACTAAAGTGTTAACAGCTGTCCTCTTTTCTTTCTTTTATTCACAGGCTCAGTAGATGAAGGCGTCACCGAAGGGTTACCTACACTTCAAAGCACTTCTAGCACTAATGCTCATGCAGAAGATGATGATCGGTTAGTATTAAGAGAGTGTGTAGTTTCCTTGTAAGGGCTGTGCTTGCAACTCTGAATTCAAGCATTTTATCTAGGAATTATATAAGAAGTTTATCAGGACCTCACTTTAGTATATTTTATATGTATATTTAATATATTTAGTATACTTCAGAGTAATGAGGTAGCATCATCACGTCTAAATTAGACCACCTATGCAAGGTTTTTTGACATTTCTGAAACTAGTCCCATTACTTTAAATAGTGTCTGTATCAGGGGTTGACAAACTATGCACTGCAGGCCAGTTCCAGTCCACCACCTTTATTTGTAAGTCGAATTTTATTGGAACACAGCCGTGCTCATTTGATTACATATTGCCTGAGGATGGCAGAACAGAGTGGTTGAATTAGAGATCATGTGGTGTGCAAAGCCAAAAATATTTACTGTCTTATCTGCTACGGAAAAAGTTTGCCAAACCCTCATCTGTGTACCCATAATTCCCAAGTCATTATCGTCAGATTGAGCCTCCCTGCTTGATACTTCCACAAGGATGTATAAGGGGCATTTCAGACTTAACATGGCCAAGACAGAATCTAGACTTCTAACTCCCTTCAAAGCCTGTTCTTCCAGTCTTTCCCACCTCAGTAAGCAGCAGCAGCATCCCCCTAATTTCTCAAGCTGTATCTCTGGCAATTATTCTTGATCTTTCTTTCCCTCACCACTCTGCATTCCCCTTCCCCATATTTAATCTTTAGGCAAATTCTGTCAACTGTACCTGCAAAATATGCCCTCATCAGTCTACTTTTCATCCATCTCTACTACAGTCACCCTAGCTCAGGTTACCACCATCTTTTGCCTTGCCTACTGCAGTAGCCTTCAGCTGGCCCTTGATTTCATCCTCCCCCTATGCCAGTCATTAGCCACATGGTGGCCAGAATGATCTTTGTTTTAATTGTCAAATTATGTTGCTGTTTTAAAGCAGTAGATTCTTAAAATTCTCCAATAGATTCATTCTTAAAATCTAAACTCCTTGCTATGCCTTTTAAAGCCCTACGTGATAAGACTTCTGCGTAACTCCCTTCAGACATTTTCCTTGTTTGCTACCTTCTAGCCATATTGACCTTCTTTCAGTTTCTAGAATATTCCGTATCCCTGCTTTTGGGTCTTTCTGCCACTTTAGGGCCTTTATTCTGCCTGAAATACTTTATCCTGATTTTCACATTTTCCTTCTTGGCCTCCAGATCACTGTCTAAATGTCATTTCTCAAGGAAACTTTTCCTGATCACCTCTCTAAAATAAAACAGCACCAATTGGATCACCCTATTTTAATTGTCTGTTCTGATAATTTTCTTGAGTATTTATTGTCTGTTTCTGACAGCTGAATATAGACTCCACTGAATGAACTCCTCATAGAGTGTCCAGGACAGACTTTAAAACTCTATTTGTTGAAAAATTGAAGGGTTCAAAGAACTTAAAGTTTATTGTTCTTGAATAGCTAAACCTGGTAGAGCAGATTATGAACCAGAGTCATTTAAAAATAAGTTAATGAAGGTATAAACAAACAAATGTGCCTAAATTCTTTAATTTTAAATATTAGTTGTCTGTTCTGTACTGAATACTGTGCTAAATGGTGGGGATGTAGACGTGAAATGTGCAGCGCTTGCCCTCAGACATCACACCAATTTTGGGGAATGGAGAGAGGTTGAAGATAGACAGGTAGACAGATAATCATGAGTGATCTGCAGAGGGTTCTGTTGCTCTGGTTAGGAGGCTACCTACCTAAGCCACTGATAAATCAAAGAAGGCTTCCAGGAGGATGAGGTGACTTCTTAGCTACATTTCATAAAATGAGTAGGCATTATCTAGGCAAAGAAGGTAGCCAAGTTAAATGTGCAAAAGCATAGCATTGAGAGAGAACTATTAGGAACTGCCTGGTAGAGGATATGTTTAGGGAGTATGACAAGAAATGAGGTGGTAAAGTACACAGAACCCAGATCACAAGGAGCCTTGTATGCCTTACAAAGGGGTTTAGACTTTATTCTGAAGATAACAGTGAACCATCACAGGATTTTAAACATGTGGCTGATTTAATCAGAGAGATCGCTGTGAAACTAAGAAGGATGGATTAGAAGGATGCAGGGTAAAGAGAGGGAGTTATGAATTCAGCCTTGTGTTGGTGAGGGCCTAAATTAGAGCAGTGATAGGAAGGAAAGGGTTAGAGAGATTAAGGATCCCTAAGGGAAAGTCGTTTCTATGTTCTGTGGCCATATGTCTTTTCTTAAGATGCTGACCATGCTGGACAGGAACATTGTTTTCATATAATTGTAAATGGAACTTGTGATCTAACAGTTAAACTGTTTCAAGAAGTCTTTGTTTTTTCTTTTGTTTATTTAAAGTTGTGCAGAAATATTTATTCAACTTAAACTTCAGAGCCTGGTTGCCTTCTTTGGTCTGTTTTTTAGATTGGAAAATGTTCAGTATCCCTATCAACTCTACATTGCTCCCTCTACCAGCAGTACAGAACGACCAAGTCCAAATGGTCCAGATAGACCTTTTCAGTGTCCAACTTGTGGGGTGCGATTCACCCGTATTCAGAACCTGAAACAGCACATGCTCATCCACTCAGGTAATGTCGTTTTCCCTATTGTTGCATAAATGAGTACTCTAAAACATTTTATTTGGGGATCCCAGTTAAAAATAGTAAACAGGTGTTTTCGAGTTTAAAAAGAAAAGGTATCTCTGGCAAGTCAAATGAGAGCAGATAAGCCTACATCTGTTGCTGAAGTGGTGCAGTGTCACAAAGCTGTTTGCTAAACACATTTGCCACCACAGCATAAGTATTCTGATTAAGACTTGGGGGGGCGTGTAAAGTATGTAAATTTAAAAGATATTGGATATATTAGGTGTGTGCATATATGTGAGAAAAGTACAAATACAGATGGTAAAGCAGATGGGGTTAAAAGGGCATATATTGGTGGTCTTTGTACTATTCTTGTAACTTCTCTGTAAGTTTGAAATTATTTCCAAATAAAAGTATTTTTAAAAATTTACTAACAATAATTTAATTTTAGTTCTGCAATCCTAAATTTCTCTGTGCCCTGATTAGTCAGCTTTGTAGTCAGCTTTGTAGTATTTTTTTTTTTTTAGTGTAAAAGAGATTTGGGATAAATGATGTATAAAACAGATTTGAAACTTAAGTTCACTGATCACCTAAAGGCAACACAATTCTTGTGGGTTGAACAGGGACCTCTGCTGAGCAGGCAGTCTGCTCTGTTCTCAGCAGGAACCATCTCACTTTCCTCTCCTGTACAGAGGTCTGATAGTCCCTGTGCTAACACCAGTTCCCTACGACTTTGTTAAATCAACAGATTGTATTTTGAAGGTTTTGTTTTTTTTTTTTACCAAAGCTATGAAAATGAGTTGGAGGAAACCATTAATATACTTTATAGTTCACATATTAATTTCTACATATTTTTTCTAGGACTACTACAAATCAAATCCCTGAAAACTCAGTTCATCAAGTGCTAATTCTATCATGATCATTAATTATGTTCAGGAATCTTAGAATTTTCCTTTTTTCTTCTCATTTCTCTCTGAGATAGGGAATGAAGAGTAGGTACTAAACATTTTCACATCTTTTCAATGTAAACCTCACTAGTGAAATGAAATAGTAAATGTGTTATATGGGGATTTGGGTTCTGTTTAAATACTGTGCTTAATTGTGTTTCAAAGTCTGTAAAATAGATGATTTAGGACAGTATTCAAAAATCAACTTAGGGAGCTGGCCCTATGGCCTAGTGGTTAAGTTCAGTTCACTCCACTTCAGTGGCCCAGGTTCAGTTCCCAGGCACAGGCAGACCTACACCACTTATCGGTGGCCATGCTGTGGTAGCAACCCACATACAAGATAGAGGAGGCTTGGCACAAATCTTAGCTCAGGACAAATCTTCTTCAAGTAAAAAGAGGAAGATTGGTAACAGATGTTAGCTCAGGGTGAATCTTCCTCAGCAAAAAAGAAAAATCAACTTGGGTATATATAACCTAGTTTCCCCCTCCTCCCCGTGCCTTTCTTTTCTTAAAGCACTAGTGACTTTTCAAATGTTCTCTACCTTTTCTGAGATATTGAATTGGAATATTTTTTGCTGGTGATTTTTATCTCTTCATATTATCTATTGCTACAAAATTCAGAATGTTCAGAAATGTGTGTGGTTTAGCTTTTAGTTTATTTTGTTTTTAGATAATATTTTGTTTTCCTTTATTTTACAGGAATTAAACCATTTCAGTGTGACCGCTGTGGGAAAAAGTTCACCAGGGCTTACTCGCTAAAGATGCATCGCCTAAAGCATGAAGGTAAACGCTGTTTCCGGTGCCAGATATGTAGTGCCACTTTCACTTCCTTCGGGGAATATAAACACCACATGAGGGTTTCCCGGCACATTATCCGCAAGCCTCGGATTTACGAGTGCAAAACATGTGGCGCCATGTTCACCAACTCTGGGAATTTAATCGTGCACCTGAGGAGTCTGAACCATGAAGCGTCAGAGCTAGCAAACTACTTCCAGAGCAGGTGAGGTGCACAACGAAGCCAAACCAGGAAAACTGCTTTCTGAACTCTCTTCTCCTGCTTTCAGGGCAGCCTGCCGCGTTTTTATCAGGTTGCCAGCTAATCAGTCACATTCCTTTTAAATTCCCACTATCCATACTCTGATCTCTTGATCTGATAAACTTTTGTTGAATCTTCTAAGTATGTACAATTATAAATATTTTTATAGTTGGTATTAGAAATCTTTTTCTACAGAAGTAGACTACTTACCCTCTTGTTTGTTTGTTTGTTTTAATAATATGAGGTTAAATTAATTCTGTAGTGGATCTTAAAAATAGACCTTACTGGAAAATTTACCATGCCAGATGATATTTAGTGATATTAGATTACTTCACACCCTTTGGATATTAATAAAATTCTTCACCACTTCTCTCATTTTTTTTTTGAATTCTATATAAAAGAATATACATTTACTAATAAGAGAGAAACTTCAATAGCAATTCTAATGGATATGATTATTTGGATCAAGTGAGGTTTTCTTTTTTTCTTTCAGTTTAGAGCTCAGTGCTTTTAATGTTAGTAGGTTATAATAGAGTTCCCTTTCTGATTTATAGGATATCCAAGGAAATCAGGTTCTCGTTCTAACTCAGCCAGTAACTGCTGTTAGGATTACACGTGTCACTTTACAGATGAGGAAGCTTGAAACTTAGAGATCAAATGTAAGCCTTGAAGGTGATTTCTGAGGTCTCCTCTACATGTAAAATTCTGTTGTCTTTTTTTAATACTTTATCAGAATTGTACATCTATATGAGTCCTTAGTTTCTTATGAAATCTTTCTAAATTTTTGCATTTTAACCCACCTCTTTTTTTAAATCTTATTTTTCGATAAATGTCAAATGATTCCTGAGCCAGCCCTGATGGCCTAGTGGTTAAAGTTCTGTACTCTCTCCACTTCAGCTGCACAGGTTCGTGTCTCGGTCACAGAACCACACCATCTGTCTATCAGTTGCCATGCTGTGGCAGCAGCTCACATAGAAGACTAGAAGAATTTACACCTAGGATATACAACCCTGCATGGGGGCTTTGGGGAGGAGAAAAGAAGAAGATTGGCAACAGATGTTTGCTCAGGCGAATCTTTCCCCGCCAAAAAAATTCAAATTGTTCCTGTGTATATTTTGTTTTTCTCTTCAAACCAGACATTCATTTTGTTTAATGTCGTCATTTATGGCTAAGCGTCTGGTTGTCATATCACTAAACCTAGATTAGATGTATCGTATCAAACATTGTTTGTTCAGGACTAAAATAGGATCCCAGTTGACTCCTGTTGTCGGTCTCTTCCCTGTACAGGGCCCTCTATCCTCTACTGCTCTTGTCTGACACCTGAAGACTCTTTAGAAAGGATAACATAGGACATTGTAAATTGCTCTGCAGATGAGCAGATTTTAATTTTTTTATTAATAGTGGACAATCAAATTATAAAATTACCTTATTAAGTGTATTAGTTATTGACATTCCTAGTATAATGAACTTTTTTAGTTCAACAATAGACTTAAAGCATCTAAGGTAAGACTTACTTCATAGTGCTTATTGTTTTAACTACAAAAAATGCTTATAGTAGAAAACTTAGTAAATATAGAAAAGTATAAAATATAAGAAATTAAAAATCTTTCTTGATCTCACCACTCAGAGATAATTTCCACTGTTGTGAAAATTTTGGTGTGTTTTCTTGTCCACACCCAGTAATTAAATACTTATTTAATAGAATATTAAATATTTCCAATATCAGTAAATTCTTTCTGAGGACTAACGTGTGACCAGTTTCATGGCATTCATTTCCAAATTCTGATTCAAGATAATTTATTAACTCTTTTCATATAGCAAATCTAATAAGTTACACATAAATTTTTGTTTTACATTTCTCTATATAATAAATTATGTATAAGATCATTTATGCATAAGGATTTATTTTCTTAGCTAATTTATATCCAGGAAGTACTAAACAGCTAAGTTTATATACCTCTTAATTAGTGTATAATCCAAGAAAGATTAAGCATAAGTTATTCAAATGATCTTTCCTTAAGTGGGCATGCTAATCATATTTGTCAGTCTTTCAGAGTGACGCTGAAAGTGACAGTTCATCTCATCAGTTGGTGGTAGGGAGAGTTGAGATACTTCGGTTCTGATGGATGCCTTTGGTTCATATTTAGGAAAGTTTACAAGTTGAAAATTCCTGAGTTATAATCTTCATTCAAAAATCTTCGTTCAAGAATTAGAGAAATGAAAAATCCCAATCTTATTTTACAAATAAGGTCTTTTTATTATGTCTTATTTGTTACTGGTTTGAAAATTAACTCCCTTTTTCATCCTTTGCCTCTTATCTAGTGATTTCCTAGTACCGGACTACTTAAACCAGGAGCAGGAAGAGACCCTTGTTCAGTATGATCTTGGAGAACACAGTTTTGAAAGCAACTCCTCTGTTCAAATGCCTGTAATTTCACAGGTCTCCTCGACCCAGAATTGCGAAAGCACCTTTCCCTTGGGGGCTCTTGGTGGGCTGGCAGGAAAAGAGGAAGAAATGCCAGAGCAGCCAAAGACCAGTGCTTGTGCTGAGCCAGCCAGAGATGACCCCCCAAAATCAGAGCTGTCTTCTATAACTATTGAGTAATTTCATGGTTGGGCTTCATTTTTGGTTTTTGGAAAGTGCCTGTGCTTGGTCTTGTACATTTAAATTTAATTTAATTTTTTAAACAAAAAAGGGTTTGGGAAAGAATTTCTCTTTTTACTTTGTAAGCCCTGCAACTGATGTTTTATTTTTTCATGACTCAGAGATTGCTTTTGTAAGTACACAATAATGTGATGTTGAAATACAGTAGAAACTATGAGACTTAAGGAGAACCAGTTGACTTAAAACATCTATCAGTTTCTTCTTCCACTGTTGAAAATAGGCTAACAGCAGATCATTAGTTAAAGAAGAAATCAGATGATTATTGACCTTCCTGAGATGAAAGGGTACAACAGAAACAAATTACTAAACAATGACAACTGGCCTGAATAGATGTTTACTCCTATACACAGGACAGTGTACACTATTTTGTAAAGCCTGTTGTTTTTGCAAGTATTTATGGTAAGCTTTCTTAAAATTTATTGGGTGAATACTTCTGAAATCCAACATACTCTTTTTTTATTTTTTATGCTTTGTCATTTCTATTATGATTTTTCATGGTGAAAATTTGCATAGGCTTTCCCTGTACCTTTATAATACTGCTCCTCCGAATAATCTTTCTGTCTTCTATGATAGAAGACAAAGAACCATGACTGAGAATAGTCAAGCTGTGTGTGAAATGACCAGGAATGGAGAATGTAGTATGTAAATCCCAGCTTCATAGAAACTCTTTAATATACTGCTTTTCTGAGTAAAATTGTTTACCTGGTCTTTGAATATTAATGCTTGGCTAATTAGGTCATTGTGTACATCAGTTTTCCTCTTGCCCCATCAGCAGTCTTTCTCTTGAACATACTGGAGTGATGCCGTACAAAGGAAAAATATTGGAGATATTATATATTTTATATATAGGTTTATGTATTGTTCGGGATATTTTTATTGTACTGTTTTGGACAAAATAAAGAATTCTCTGTTAAGGCTACATTCTTAACCCAGCTAAAATTGTTTACAAAATTCCATACAACAGTGAGACATTGTCCTTGTTCTGAGATATTTTTAGACATTGCCAAGTTAGTATAGTTTTTACACAATGTAAGCAATAATGTAAAAGATAAGAAGAGGCTATAAAATGATGACTTGTGACTCATAAATTTGTTTGGGAAAAAAATTAAGGCCAAAAACCTTAAATTAATGAATATCACCTCTTTTGCTGCTAAAAAAATGAAACTTCCTGGTTTATATATAAGTTGGAATTTATATGATACTCTAGACTGGAGTATCCTTTTCATTTGCTACCATTAAAGCATCACTGACCTTGATCTTAAATATTCATGAGTCCATGAACAATGAACTTTTGAGTAACTTTTTTTCTATGTATATGCCCAAAGTTTAATAATTATAAAAGCACCTGATTAGATTAGAAAAAAGAAGCAAAGTGTGATTTCTTATTCAAAACACAAGATCTGAATTTTGTCTGAGTGCTAGATCTTAATAAAAAAAATATATTTTTAAGTTATAGTGATTTAATTGTTTCATTTTTTTTAATTGGCTAATTCTGTAGTTGATTTCTCCCCATGAATGTAAAGGAAGGGAAAGTAAACTCACTGAAGATTTTTTTAAGTTCAAGTTCTTTCTGTCTCTTTCCATATTCTATCTTTAACTTGTTTCCATCTCTTCTCTCAGTTGTGAACCTGTTTTTCCCCCTTGGCTCTCAAACATAGGTGTCTCACCTTCATAAAGATCAAGATACCCAGGTTAATGATGGGTTTCCATCATTTATGCTTCCTTACTCATAGGGTTGAATTAGTTTCTGCAGCAGACTGTGATACTTAGTACTGCTGTGTCTCAACTGGAAAGGTCAGAAATTTTTATTTTTGATGTCATATATATTCTTTGAAAACTGTTATGCCTACCAGTAGGTAAATCTCAAAGTTAGTGTTAAAATCTTAATATGGGCAAGACAAAGAATAGGTAAAATTACGACCAGGAATCAATTGTTGCCTTCAGTTCTAAGAGTTATTTTTTTTAAAAGTGAGTAAGTAAGAAAAAAAAAGAAGGAAAGAAATAGGCATAAAGAAAAGAAATGTGTGTGAATCGTTTGGGGATTTGTTGGTTGAAAATGTTGTGGCATATCCCCTATCCTGAGAACACTACGTGAAGAGAGCCTGTACAGTTTTGGCAGCTCTGAGGTATTCTGTGTTCTCAGAGTGTAGGATTACCACCACTGGCCATTGTTTCCCAAATGGAAACTTTAGATTTTCATTGGTAATTATAAATTGCACAGATTTCCAAGTTTTATGAAAAATTTGAATGTACTGTGAAAATGCATACTTGGTTAGTTGTCTATTCCCCAAATTTTATCAATACAGGTAACTAGTATTTGACATAAAGTGATATAAACAAGGCTGTCTTTTTTCTATTTCATTAAGACTCTACATTTTTCTTGATACACAATTTAAGGGTATTTAGCTTATGAATCTGTTTTAGGAAACTAAGCTGCAAGGGATATAATTGTATATAGTGTTATTTAGTTTTATTTAAAATTCGTTTAAGAGAAGGATACATGGATGTATAATTTTTACCAGAATATATGGAAAACATTGCAAAGAGATGAATGCCAGTTACAGCATCCCATCCATTAGAAATTACTGGTGTAACTGAACGTAAAAATTTCCAGGTTTGAATACTTAGGTACAGCTGCCTTTCCTAAGGGCCAAAAGGGTAATTTTGTGATATTTAAAGGGCTTAAATTTCAGGATGCAGGATAAATTGCCTTTTAAAACCAAGTATTTTATACAAGAAAAGCATTTGCTTTCAGTTTTTAAGCTACCAAACAGGTGGGACATAACTTTAGAAATGAGCAAAGATGTTTGCCATGGTCCTGGATGGTACAGCTCCTGCAGTCATTTTTTCATTTTTAAGGGTGTATTCTAACGGTGGAAGCATTTAGCATCTCAGTGATTATCCTAATTCAGAAACAAACAGATTAATACTGGTTTTTATTTTTTTGAATTTTAAGTTTTCTATAAATGGATGCAGATGGAGGTTATCACCCACAAGTATATTTAAATGGATTTTTCTTAATTTGAATTTCGAGTAATCTTTTTGATTTTTATTTCATATAGTTAGTTACGCATTTAGTTACAATGCCACTTTTTAAAGTTCTCAATTTCAGTGAGACAAATGATACCAAAATGTTTAAATAGTTTCATTCAGTCTTACATTCTAATATTTCAGCAATCATTCTGGCTTACAGTAATTTGGTTCCGTATTATGACACTTGCCCATTGGTTTTAAAACGAACAAAAAAACTTCCATTTTCTTAAGATATTTTACCAAATGGAATGGACTGGTCAGCACATCTAATGTACATATTATTGGTAACTCTGTTACCTTCTAACTACTGAGCCAGACTCTCCCTCTGTATAAGTGGAGGCTTTGGAAGCTGTATTAACTCTTTCAGTCTCTTATTTTATTTCTTTTTATTTTATCCTGTCCTTATCTTAATCTAAATGGAGGCAAATTATCTATTTTAAATGTGGCTTTATTTTGAAGATTCTCAGATCATGTTTTAGTCTCTTAGCTTTGTAGTCCCTGAAAAATACATTACTGTATAATGTAATGGCGGTTCTGTACGAGTATACCACATGGAGAGAGTTACTCTTATTACTTGATGAATGAATAATCCTAAAATTGTGGTATTTTAACTGAAAGGAGTTTGAGATTTGAGGACTTCATGAAGAAAAGAATTAGAAACTTCCTGTGGCATTTAGTCTATTTTCACTCATCTGCAAAATGTGAAGTTATAACTCTGAAATACACATTTCAGTGTATGTGAGGAAGAATAAATAGTTCTCTAGATGGTAATATTAATTGGAGGAAAAAAATTAATAAAGTTCACATTTGGAAATGACCCAAAGTTGCTAAAAGGTAATGAATGTGGTTTTCACTCTGTCATTGACATATTTTATTTATAATATATTTAGATTTTAAAAGTTACTGAGAGAAGAATGCCTAGAGCCTAGATTTTCTCTTCTGAATCAGTGGAGCAGCAGTGAGGGGAAGGTCTGTTATAGTAAACACATCTGTGAGGAATATTCCGCTAAGCACACTCCTACAGGCTTTAAGCTAAAATCATCAAAATTTAAGTTATTCCTTATTTGGCCTATACCCGTTTTTATCTTTCAGTGTCATTTTTGCTTGACAGTATGTGATGACGTAGGATATTTTTATTTGGAAAGTCCTCAGCAAGACAAATTTGCCAAAAGCAATAATGGTTCAGATTAAACAATGAAGTGGAATTGAACCAATTTCTGGGTTCAACTAAGGGACACACTCTGGATATTTCGATTTTAGATTATAAATATGTTGCGATTTGTTAATAAGGAGTTAAGCCTATGTGAGATTATGGGTTGAAGACTATTAGTGACATCAGAGTCGTACTTTTTTTTTTTTTTACCTCATACTAAACTAATACAGTTAGATGATTCCACTACATTGTAGTGATTATATTTTTATGACAGAAAAAAACTAGTTCCATGTCTTTACAAATAGTGTCTGCAGAGATGTCAGGCACTGTCATTGGAACCTCAGTTTGGCAGTGTCTAAAAAGTGATCACGTCTTAAAGTGCTTGTGCTGCTTCAGTTGAGTGAGCTCCCTCTGCACAGGACCCAGGCCAGTTCCAACTATACCAAGGCTTCTGTGTACATACTAGTTTACAGAGAAGTGAAGAGTTCAGACCACTGATTGAAGAAAAAAAATTTTTTTTTTAATTTTTAAAAACTTCATAATTTTTTATTTCAGTTTGTAGTGCCTGGTTTATAAAATCACATTCTTTGATTATTGCCTTTCTCTTTTAAATGTACTAGTTTTCTGATTAAGCTTAAAGCCATGGGCTCAATTGTGATGACTTTTTGATAAAATCGATGCTTCATGGTTTGAGGGGCTACAGTGTTATGACTTTTATGAAATTCTGCTTGTTTTCCCAAATGCTGATCTAACCCTTTCCATATTTCATTATTCAATTAAATAAGTTAAAAAGTCATCCTGTAAATGAATGTTCAGGTTACCAAAGTACATCGCCTGCTGAGGAAGGATAAATCTTCCCTTTAAGAGGAAGCGGGTCATCTCCTCATAACACACATCGTTTCTCCTGGTGTTAGTGGAAGCTGTGTTCATTTAAAGATGGGAAGCCTTTGGTGCAGTTCCTAGAAACACCTATTGTCTAGAGAGAACCTTTTCTTTGATTAGGTTATAAGTGTGTTTTAATCTCAGAGCTTTCTTTTATTTCAGTTATCAATTTAATTTTCAAGTTGACAGATGTTACGTAAAGTCTCTCATACTGAGAGTAGTCCAGTAAATTATTGAAAGTTGCACTGCTTTTCATCTTTCAGGTGCCTGAAATGAATGCCATCAGGTATTTGGAAGGAGTAAGATCATAAACTTGATTCATTTTCTTCTTTGTACAGTGTGATGGCTTCTAATGCTTATATTTCAAGATATTTTTTAAAAAACAACAGTCCCTAATAGAGTAAAATTTGGTTTTGATCCAAGTCCCAATAATATGTTTGATTTTTCTCTTGTTACTGATGCCTCCTGTTGCATCAAAGAGAGATTGCCTGCCTCTTTCTAGGGCACCCTTGTGGCACCTTATGTCTAATTGGAGGATAGTATATGGCTTATTTGTGCCTCTACTATCTTTTCAAAAGCCATTTTATAAAAATCCTAGGTGTAGCCTATTTTAATATTTAAATATATATATTTGTGAGAGATACTTTTAGAATAGACTTTTTTTTTACTTTAAAATTTCTGTATTCCCATTTTTAAGAGTAAAGTTAAACTTTCCAGGATTAGGACTTGTCTTTTTCCACAGCAGCATAATGAGAAAGTCACATTGAGATAACAGACCATAATTCATTGATAGAAGAAATTGATGTCTGGTTAAAGGAGACAGATGTGAAGGAAGAAAGTTGTTTTGATGTAACAGAAATGAATTTTTAAATAAAATGTTTTTCTTTCTGTTATTTCATACTTGCTGCTATAGTAACTCGGTGTTTTACAGAGCTAACATATAAATCTGGCTCCATTTAAAAAACGGAGTACTTTCTAGTATCACCAGCCTAGGAGGAAGCTGTGCACCACAGTCCTCCAGATGGGTGATGACTGCTTTGTTGAGCTGATGCATGCTGTAATATTTGCCCACAGCTCAACATCAAGGAAGTTTGGGGGAAACTTTTTTACCTTGCTAGTTATGGCTTTATGATTCTTTTTGGGCACTGGCATTTTGTGAAACCCTTAAGGGAGGAGGGTAATGCTGGGGAAGAAATGTGAATTAACTTATGTAGATGAGTGTTTCTTTGTCTTCTGTCCCTCTCCTAGAACCAGTACAACTCTAACTGTGCCAGTCCCCAATTCACCAGCTTTGTATCCAGTTGTCATCTCATTCAAGTATGGCTTCACTTGGTGACGGTGGCCATAGCTAAGTTATTTGGCATGTTTGACTTTCAACAATAACAAAAATGGTTTTGGATTTTATTTCCTAAAAATGTATACAATGTCAGAACTTCAGATTTTATATAATAGTATCTGGCTATTAGTATTTTACAGGAACCATAGTTCTTGGTGATTACATATATATATATCTATATATTTTTGTGACTTTTTTGTAAACTAAGTGCCGTTTCAACGTTACAATCATTTTTAGAGTTATTGTAATCAATGTGAATATCATGTTTTTTCAAATCTGTTCTGAGCCTATAGTGTTTGCTTTGTGAACATATGTGTATTGTATATATTCTGTATAGTTACATTGTACTGAAATATTAGCTTGTTTGATATAAGAAAAGTATGTATTGAGTACCTTTTTGCTAGCCTGGTTGTTTAATCTTTTTTAAAAAGTTTAAACTTTTTAAAAAAAATCTTTAGACTGGCCTTTATTACATGGTCACATATTAAGTTGCAGTTAGAAGGGATGGGCAGGGAAAAACTAGTTTTGAGTGTCTTTGAATAGAAACATAAGACTAAGATGTGGGTTTTTTTCCTCATTAAAATATCTTATTAATGCTTTGTGGAGTAAAACTTCCTGCTGTTGTTGTTTGTTGTTGGCTGGAAGGAAAAATTCATGGTGGTGTTTGAGGTCCAGTGGATAAGAAGTCATCAGAATAATGCATGACTTAAGTAAACCTCCATTGAGTGTGTCCAGACTAGAGAGTGTTACGTTCGACAGCACATGTCAGCTTCCTGGGCAAGTGAGATGAGAGCTGAGAGTGCAAAGATTCCACAAACACCATCCCTAAGATTGGAACGGGTCTAAAGGAGGCTGGTTAGAGACGGGCATCAAATCCTAGAGCTGTTGAACCAGGTTCCTGTGCACATCTCCTTCCTGAGTGGTGAGTTGCATCTTTAGAAGTTGCTCTGAATCTTTCTGAAGTTATGCTTTATTGATTACAGAGCTATTGGTGACATTTCAATAATATCTTACAACCAGGGAGTAGAAAATAGATACTTACCTGGGGAAAGCAGCTCATTGCATATGGTAATGAGTCTATGAGAACCTCAAGGAGGGGCTTTGTAACTTTAGATTCATCTTTATGTGGATTTTGACAATAACTAGTCTGTAGAATAACAGGCAAAGAAAATTGTTTCGTTGACCCCAAGCTACCAGGATGAGTTTAGAACAAAGTTCGGAGAGGAAGAGGGTAAACCTTAAGAAGCATCCTCTTCATTCAGTGAATGTATTGAGTGGTTTTAACAATGGTTCACCAAACCATTCAAGGTCAGCAAACTGTGTTGGGTCCTCAGTAGCCTCAGCCACAGATGACATACGTAAATGCAGAATGTAGAATTTAAAATAATTATATCCTACAGTTTGATCTGCATATTAAATCACATACCAGAAAAATGATACTAGAGATATTAACCGAAGGTGTGTATCTCCTCAACTGATAGAGTTGAAATAAATGGTTTGGGCATTCTCTTTTGAACAGAAATGTTTGCTCTAAGCACTAAACTGAGAAAATTAAGAATAAAATATACGAATATACCAAGAGTTTAAGTGGGGGGAACTTGCTTATAAACATCAAATCCCAAAGTTTAATGTAAATCATTTTTTATATGGATAAACTTTTATGCAGATGGAAAGACTAAGATAGGGCATATTCAATCTAGAGAGAAATTCCTCATCAGCAGACTGATTTAGAACTAGAGTTTGAACAGCCTTAGGGACAAAGGGAAAGCTGTTTGTTGTTTTTGTAAACTCTGATTGATTTACTTGAATTTTCCTACCAAAAAAATTTGAGATTTCTGTATTACCCTTATAGACCAGTGAACAGGCCATTGCAGAGGCTATGGTCAGGGTTGGCATTAGAATCATTTTGCAGGACTTCCACACATAATCCCACACTCTTCCTTCTATCCCTGCCTAATTTTTTCCACAGCTGACATTTCTGGTGGCCTTGGATGGAGGTCATTTAGTGAATGAGCAGGTCTCATTGAACAGAGACCTGAAAAGTTAGACAGGCTCAGCAGCACATACACACAGACCCCCCAGTAAAGGGCTAGCCTCAAGTGAATTGCCTCTCATGATTCTTGCTGTCTAGAGACCTCTGTGGGGAGAGTTGCATTCAAACATAAGAAGAAAAGATGACAACCAAATAAAATTCTTGCAGTCTATTTTAAATTGGGTTAAGGCAGGTATGCTCTCTGGCGATCCAAGCATCAATAATACATGTGGTAGGACCTGTGTACGTGATAACTCTTGTCCAGGAACAGAATTCTTTATTGAAAGCAAATGAGTCTACCAACAAGATTAGTAAAAATTCCTTTTCAATATGTTTCATAGTTTATAAAATGCCAGCACTTTTAGTGATTTGCTCTTTAAAAACCCAGAGAGATAGCAGGGAAAGTAATAACAAATCTGTGGTCCCCATAGTTAGATAGTGCCCTTCCTGCCAATTCTAGGAGGGCGTTAGATCCACTCTGAAATGTCCAGGCCACTAACAGGGCTGGAACCTCTGGGGTCTTGAGTGGGTAGAGCCTGCATCTGTGTGGGCGCGGTACACAATGATTGGAACGGAAGCCAGGAACTTCTATCTTGCCAGTTCTAGCAATTATGATTCTTTTTGCGTGGGCACCAGCATTTTGGGAGACCCTTAAGGGAAGGTAATGCTGATGGAATATGTGAATTAAATTATGCAGATGAATGTTTTTATGTCTTTCGTGCCAGGATCTGGTTCTCTTAAAGGAGAGTCAGAGGTTAACTTTTTCTTATAATGTGAAAAGAATTGCATGTGACCTTGTTCTAAAGTGGACTGGTCAGTTTTTTCCTTATGTGCTCTTACCTACTTAATACCTCCACTCGGTTATCGCTCCCCCCCCCCCCCCGCCCCACGCTCACCCCCCCCCCCCCATAACATTTCCCATCATTTTCTCCATCCCTATTGCTGCTAGCTTAATTCGAGCCTTTGTTGTTTCTGAGCTAACATAAACAGCCTCCTAACTGTTCTTCCCTCTCTCCAGTTGGGCCTCCTTGAGTCCATCCTTTACATTGCTACTAGAGTCCTCTTTCTAATCAGGCCACAGCCCTACTTAAAATCTGCCCCTCTCTCCCTGGGATACTCTCCCCAGCCTGCTCTGCCTGGCTCATTGCAGTTGGACTTTGAGGACACAGATCGGGCTTCACCTCCTCTAGGAACCCACCCCTCAGTCCTCACTCCCACCTGCTGCCTACCTCGCATAGCAGTTTAGGGTGAAGGGTCCCTCCTGTCTATTCCGTGGCAGATTTTGTTTAGTTCCACCAAACCACTTCTCAATCACACTGCCGTGTAAATCTGCCTCATGAGGTAGTTGTGAGAATTAAACAAATTATATGTCAGATACTTAGACCAGCACCTAGTGTATAGTAACCACTTCGTAAGCCTTGCTGCTAGTATGTCTCCCTCACCTGACTGAATGCTTGCTGTCAGGGACTGCGTCTTTTATCTGTGTATCCCCTGTAGTATCCGACACATAGAACTCAAAAAATGTTGAATGAGTAAATGAGTGTTGCCAAGAAATGGTCATAAACTCAATTTACCAGAATGCTCAGAGGACTTACCAAGGAAATTTTGGGCAGAACACCTAGAAGTATTTTCATCATGTGACCTGATGATTTGCCTCAACTCTTCACCATATATATCAAAATCTTACTCATCTTTAATTGAGGGTCTGAAATACAAGGCTATAGGGGATTATGAGTATTAACTTTCAGTCTAATCCTCAGAACAACTGCCATCAGCCTGGCCAAAATTTCCCCAAATCGCTGGTTTTGCCATTTTCCTGTTTTCATCTGGTTTACTCTTACATCAAGTCCATACCTGAGTATCACTTCTTAAAGATGCTTTCCTAGAGCCTCCCACACTGGGTGGTTGTGTTCACATAACATCCTGTATTTTTATTACAATGGCAATTCACTAATTAAAATCAGTTGGACTAAACTCCATTGGGTTAAGTTCCGTTAGGACAAGGACCACAACTGTCTCTTGTACCAAGGTGTCCCCAGCCCAGGGTTGGCTGAATGAATGAAGTCTCTGACCTTGGGAGATTATGGTTTCTAAAGTAAAGAAGAATTATGCAAATAAAGCTAGTATAGAAATAACTGATTGCCATGAGAGAAACACCAAATAATGTGCTTCGCAAATTTGAAGGAGGGAGAGACCTGGCTGAAGGGACCGGAAGGTACGTGGAGGAGGCAAGCTTTGAGCTGAATCTTCTTGGAAGAGAGGTCGAGGACTTGTACAGGCAGAAATAAGAGGAAGGCAGACTACCCAGGAAAACTCTGAGACTCAGATGTAGAGACCAGGGAGTGAAAGTAGTTTAATTTGCTGAGCATTACAGGATCCCTGAAGGCGAAGAATGGAAGAAAATGTTACAAAGTAGACTGCGACCAGATCAGAGAAGACCTTGAGAATTTGATCTGAATCTGGTAGAAAATAGAGAACCGTCACACGTTTTCAGGCAGAGGAACAAAATCAGAGCTTGCTCTAGAAAGATTAAGAACAAGCATAAAATAGATTAGAGGGAAGGCGTACAGACTTAAGAGGGATCACTTAAGAATTACTTCACTAGTTCAGGGAAGAGCCCGAAAGCAGGTAAGGGGAGTGGGACCAGAGGAGGGGAGTGTGTAGGAGTTGGGGAGGGGGCTTGGTGAGAGGTGGGCCTGCGGTCTGAAGACCAAGGCTCATCTCTGAACAGTGGGTACCACCTGCTCTATTCCAAGGCCTATCGGTACTACTGATTTGACTTTGTCAGATACTTAGGCAACCTCTCTTTGTTTTTGAGAGGGAACTCTGTGTTCTAGAGAAAATAGGGTAAAAATTAGGCAGGTTTCAGAGTTGAGCTCAGATTTAGGCTGAGGGGAGAGTTTTCTTCCCTAGGAAGAGTCAAGCAAATTTTTTAGCTGGGTGGCCCTTTCTAGCAGAACTCAGCTACTGCCAAACCAGGTTGGTGGGGTTGAAAGTTCCAAAGACATTTCTCATGTCCTAATTCACTCCACTACTTAGCATTGCTTCCCCTGCTTCCCTTCAATCAACATCGAGTGTCTGGTACACCAGACACTGTTGTAAGCACTGCAAATACAGCACGGAAAGAGCAGGAATCTTGCCCTGATGGAGTTTCTATTCGTGGGCAGGGAAAGGATTGGGACAGGGGTATGACTGACAACAAGATAAATGGAGTGTGTCAATGGGCGGATGAGTGGTGGTGGGTAGGATGGCCAAGGTGAGAGAATGACACGTAGATAAAGGTCCAAAGGAAGTGAGGGGAAGAGTACTGCTGGCAGAGGGCGCAGCGAGTGCAAGGGCCCTGGGGAGACCTGCGCCTGCCGGCATTCTCAATAGCAGGGAGCCAGGACCCCCGCCCAGAGGTATTTTGTTTTGAGGCCTCTGTGGGAAGAAGCCAAAGCAGAACAGGCAATGCCAGAGTGAAACAGATGAGCCTGTCCTGATAGCCTAGTGGTTCAAGTTCAGCACACACTGCTTTGGTGACCTGGATTTGGTTCCTGGGTGCAAAACTTGACCACTCCCCTGTCAGTAGCCATGCTA